AAAAAACTTTTCTTCTACCACTTTTGGAAAAACTCGCTAGTTTAGCGGGAAAACAGCTATAAATAGCTAAAATTTGGAAAGCCGTAACTTCTATACTACTAAAGCTACAGACTTGTGCTGCATCTCGTTTGAAAGGTATTTTGAAATGCTATAAACGCCTTCTATATCAATTTGTGTAAATGTAATAGTTAAAAAAATATGAACAAAAGACAATTTTTTAAACCTTTTTTTTTTAGCTTTTTTTATTTTTCTCAAAAACGGCTCTAACGATTTTCTTTAAAACCTTAAACTGTGTAGCCCTTGAGATTCCTTAAATTTTGGTATATAACACATTACTGTAAAAAGTCACGTTTAAAAGTTATTTTTATACGAAAATAGCCACTGTTGCCAGCTCGAACAATTAACGCTCCCTGAGTATTGAATTTTGTGGGAGGGTATCCGAACTGTATTTTAGGGTCATGGAATCAGTAAATTTGCACTTAAGACTTCCATATAGGAATCTTTTGTTCTACGACTTTTGGAAAAAGCCGCTACTTTAGCGGGAAAAAGCTAAAAATAGCTAAATTTCGTTAGTTTGTAAGTTCTACACTACTAAAGGTACCGACATGTGCTATACCTCGTTTAAAAGGTATTTTGAAATACTTAAACGCCTTTTTAACTTAATTTGTTTAAATACAATGGCTTACAAATTATGATTGACCAATTTTAATTTAAATGTATATATTAGCTCCTATGAAAGCAAATGTAAACAAACAAAAACTTCTGATATCAAATAAAAACACCTCTTAACGAGGTATAAAACTAGTGACGATCGCACCTTCAACATACAAAAGTTCTGATATCAACATTTGTGACGAAAAATTATTACACTTTTCATTAAATAGACTTTCTAATATTTTCTCATTCGGCCCGCCCTAGCAAACTATTCCAGCCTTTTTCCCTTCACAGGCATTTTCTATTGCAGCGTGCCGAATTTGATTTGATTTGAATTATGATTTGAAATCATTGAATCATTGATTTGATTTCAAATCATTTGATTTCAAATCATGATTCATTTGATTTCAAATCATGATTCAAATCAAATCAAATCAATTTAAATAATTTGAAATAAAATCAAATGATTTGAATCATGATTCAAATCAATCAAATGATTTGAAATCAAATCAATGATTCAATGATTTCAAATCATAATTCAAATCAAATCAAATTTGATTTCAAATCATGATTCAAATAAAATCAAATTCAAATCATGATTCAAATCAATTGATTTTGATTTGAATTGATTTGATTTCAAATCATTTGATTGATTTGAATCATGATTCAAATCATTTGATTTTATTTCAAATCATTTGAATTTGATTTGAATCATGAGATTCATTTGATTTCAAATCATGATTCAAATCAAATTCAAATGATTTGAAATCAAATCAAATCAATGATTCAATGATTTCAAATCATGATTCAAATCAAATCAATTCAATGATTTTAAATCATGATTCAAATCAAATTCAAATGATTTGAAATCAAATCAATTCAAATTTGATTTCAAATCATGATTCAAATTAATTGAATTGAATCATGATTCAAATCAAATCAATTCAAATGATTTGAAATAAAATCAAATGATTTGAATCATGATTCAAATCAATCAAATGATGATTTCAAATCATGATTCAAATCAAATCAAATCAATTCAAATGATTTGAAATAAAATTTAATGATTTGAATCATGATTCAAATCAATCAAATTCATGATTCAAATCAATTGAATTTGATTTGAATTGATTTGATTTCAAATCATTTGATTGATTTGATTTTATTTCAAATCATTTGAATTGATTTGAATCATGAATCATGATTTGAAATCAAATGAATCAATCAAATGATTTGATTTGATTTGAATCATGATTTGAAATCAAATGATTTTAAATCAAATCAAATCAAATCAAATCAATGATTCAATGATTTCAAATCATGATTCAAATCAAATCAAATTTGATTTCAAATCATGATTCAAATCAATTGAAATAAAATCAAATGATTTGAATCATGATTCAAATCAATCAAATGCTTTGAAATCAAATCAATTCAAATCAAATCAATTCAATTGATTTGAATCATGATTTGAAATCAAATTTGAAATCAAATCATTTGATTGATTCATTTGATTTCAAATCATGATTCAAATCAAATTCAAATGATTTGAAATAAAATCAAATGATTTGAATCATGATTCAAATAAATCAAATGATTTGAAATCATGATTTGAATTTGATTTTATTTGAATCATGATATGAAATTTGAAATTAATTTGAATCATGATTTGAAATCAAATTTGATTTGATTTGAATTATGATTTGAAATCATTGAATCATTGATTTGATTTCAAATCATTTGATTTCAAATCATGATTCATTTGATTTCAAATCATGATTCAAATCAAATCAAATCAATTCAAATGATTTGAAATAAAATCAAATTTGATTTGATTTGAATCATGATTTGAAATCATTGAATTGATTTGATTTGAATCATGATTTGAAATCATTGAATCATTGATTTGATTTGATTTGAATTGATTTGATTTCAAATCATTTGATTTCAAATCATGATTCATTTGATTTCAAATCATGATTCAAATCAAATCAAATCAATCAAATCATGATTCAAATCAAATCAAATCAATTCAAATGATTTGAAATAAAATCAAATGATTTTTTAAGTTTTGAAAATTTGATATGACGTTCATCACATCGATATAAAAAACTTTTCTTCTACCACTTTTGGAAAAACTCGCTAGTTTAGCGGGAAAACAGCTATAAATAGCTAAAATTTGGAAAGCCGTAACTTCTATACTACTAAAGCTACAGACTTGTGCTGCATCTCGTTTGAAAGGTATTTTGAAATGCTATAAACGCCTTCTATATGCAATTTGTGTAAATGTAATAGTTAAAAAAATATGAACAAAAGACAATTTTTTAAACCTTTTTTTTTTAGCTTTTTTTATTTTTCTCAAAAACGGCTCTAACGATTTTCTTTAAAACCTTAAACTGTGTAGCCCTTGAGATTCCTTAAATTTTGGTATATAACACATTACTGTAAAAAGTCACATTTAAAAGTTATTTTTATACGAAAATAGCCACTGTTGCCAGCTCGAACAATTAACGCTCCCTGAGTATTGAATTTTGTGGGAGGGTATCCGAACTGTATTTTAGGGTCATGGAATCAGTAAATTTGCACTTAAGACTTCCATATAGGAATCTTTTGTTCTACGACTTTTGGAAAAAGCCGCTACTTTAGCGGGAAAAAGCTAAAAATAGCTAAATTTCGTTAGTTTGTAAGTTCTACACTACTAAAGGTACCGACATGTGCTATACCTCGTTTAAAAGGTATTTTGAAATACTTAAACGCCTTTTTAACTTAATTTGTTTAAATACAATGGCTTACAAATTATGATTGACCAATTTAAATTTAAATGTATATATTAGCTCCTATGAGAGCAAATGTAAACAAACAAAAACTTCTGATATCAAATAAAAACACCTCTTAACGAGGTAAAAAACTAGTGACGATCGCACCTTCAACATACAAAAGTTCTGATATCAACATTTGTGACGAAAAATTATTACACTCGTCATTAAATAGACTTTCTAATATTTTTTTATTCGGCACGCTGCAATAGAAAATGCCTGTGAAGGGAAAAAGGCTGGAATAGTCTGCTAGGGCGGGCCGAATAAAAAAATATTAGAAAGTCTATTTAATGACGAGTGTAATAATTTTTCGTCACAAATGTTGATATCAGAACTTTTGTATGTTGAAGGTGCGATCGTCACTAGTTTTTTACCTCGTTAAGAGGTGTTTTTATTTGATTATAATAAAGAATTAAAAACCAAAAAGCCCCGGTTTGAAAGTTTTTGAGCGGAATACCATATCATCCTTTTAAGAAGAAATAAACCTTCCAAAATGTAGATAAAGTTTTAGCGCTTTTCAGTATCGAAATTGTCCAACACTTTTTCTTTTGTAAAAATTGTTGTGTGTCATTGACTGGACATTTTAGTGAAATAGTAATCTATAGTAACCAACCTAGTTATCCTAGTTATCGTTTAATTTTACTTGGATCATTGACAATTACGCTATTTCTTATAAATTTATAAATTGAATAAATTTGTATAAATAATTTTCCAAAACATACTACATATATCGAAAAAGTCAAAACGCGATAAAAAATAGCTAGGCTGTCAGTGGTGGTGCAGAGATAGTGGGTGGCTTGGGCCTCGAGGGCTGCGTACGTGGGGCTGTTAAGCGACACGTTTCACCACCCCCAATGTCGCGCCCACCTCGTCCTGCTTTTGTTTGCTCTGCGCATTTTTCACATTTCGCGTTTCCGCTTCCGCTTTTCGCCATTGTCGTGACTCCGCCGAAAGAAATGTGTCACACACGTGAGCAATTTAAAGCTTTGGTCCTGGCTTCCTTTCGCCTCATTTCGATTGCAAACTTAATTTGAAAACTTGGCCTCGCGGCGTGTAAATATGCGTTCAGGATGTGAAATTTATGGAAGCGCTTGGGGCCAGGGATATGTAAATTTTCGTCGCTGCTCGTAAGCATTGATTTCTGCTCCTGCGGTGAGTGATGCCGATGGAAAGGGCCCAGTGCCAGTAAATTAATGGCCAGATCCCCAGAGGAACCTTCATTATCATTGCTAAAAATGTGTAAATTTGCAGTAAAGTTGTTTGGTACTGGGATTCTAGCTGTTTTTAAAGAATGCATTTTGTTCTTTATTTCCAGTAATTGTTCCTCCGTTTCTTTAAATTTAACAGGCGGACGAGCACTCCAGCACTTTAAATAAACAATTGACTTTTACATATTATAAGCACCAATACAGAATATACACTTTTACTGAAAAGACGGAAGTTCACATTTTATTTGTTGGTTTTATTTGAAGCAAACATTAAATGTTTAATTGTAAGGTAACGATTAAGATCAATAAAAAAGGGTCGCTGTAAGCGCTTAGTTCCAATTTATTTAATTGTTTTTCCATTAAAAAACCAATCGATTTATTACTGAATATTCGTTTACTGAAACTCAAAATTTTAAAGGCCCCTGCAAGACGCAGGGAGTAAATAGCTTAATGTGCCTATCCCTTCAGCTTAACTGACAAGTGCCGAAGGACGTGACTGTAGACCAGTGGACGGACATCCTTCGAGAGCGTAAAGTCAAAGTGCGAGAAGCCGTCGAAGTTGACCTTCCGGCTCTCGACGAGATTGGGCAGACTTTGCTGCAGCCGGTGGACATCCGAGTCGGATCCCAGCCAGTCACCTCCGCCGTGGTGGATCACCACCTTGCTGGTCGTCTGCGAGAGATTGTAGGCTGGTGGGGCGATGGAATCGTAACGAACGCGATTCAGGAGCGGTCCATGATCAAAACGTTGGAAATTCAGGTCACCCTGCAGCTGAGCGTAGTGGTAGATCTGCTTGGCAGAGGCTCCTTGGGAGGCGTGGGCCGCCACAATGGGGGTTAGGGTCTGAAAAAAATGGATAACTATAGAAGTCTGAATAATAGACCTCTAGTCCCACCTTGTTAAAGCTCTTCCAGTCGAATCCGCAGAGCACAAAGTCAAAGATGGCGCAGATTTGACTGGCCAACTCCGAGGCTGAGCAAATGTGTTGTCGGAATTGCTCAATAAGCTTCGTTTTCGCGGAGATTTCGTAGCCACCTAAGAGGTTCAACAACATCTAGAAAGACAACCATAAAAAAGGTACCCAAATGAAGATGTTCTTAGAATAAAAGGAAGTGAAGTTATCTACACAGGAACTGTACAAAAGTATGCAATGATATTTTGTTGTCAAACTTACCGAATACTTTCCTTTGAACATGCTGATGAACTTAAGCACTGGACTACGGTTTTCCTGCAGATAAACCGTTGGGGAAAGGGCCTGCATGAGCTGCACTTTCTTAGCATATTTGGGCCTTTCACTGCACATCACGAAGAAAACGGTGGAGCCCTGCGAGTGGCCAATGTATTGGAGCTTCGGCCTCCTAGTGCGCTTCAGGATAAGATCTATTGCGGCTGGCACATCATATTTGCCGATTTCGTGGAAGGAGAAGTCCCAGTACTTCCGTGGTTTCAAGCGAGGTCCTGTTTGTTCCCGAGAGTATTTGTTGCCCCTCGTATTCAGCATCCAGACGTCGTAGCCCTTTCGGTATAGGATGTACGCCAGACCGTTCTTAGGTCCCAATTCCACCCATGAGGCGGAACTGGACATCAGACCGTGGACCAGTAGGATAGGCTCAGCACCGGGACGGGGAATACGGTGTAAACAGAGCTTGTAGCCATCGTCCGAGTTCACGTAGCTGGTTTCCGACGGATAGCCGTACTTTTCAATTAGGTTTACCTATGTTTTAAGGGGAATTCGAATTTCGAAAAATGGAGGTACCTAATAACTGTGTAGGAAATATTTTCTCACCGTTGTCAGCTTTGCATCAATCAAGATGTCCGTCTGGGTAAGGTATTTCGGTGGGCTGCTTACTTTGAACTTCGAAGCAACCACATTGATGTTGGCACTTTTTAAAATACCACTTTCCGAAAGGGATTGTTGAGAACCACTCGCAGTGAATGATATCGCAGGTTTCTGTGCATTAAGCTGTGACTGTGACTGCGTTAGAATGTGTGATCCGTTTGAATGTGATTGTGACTGCGACTGTGTTTGGGACAGTAAGCCAGATGACTGTGATTGTGACTGCGACTGTGACTGTGTTTGGGTCAGTCCGGAAGACTGTGACTGTGACTGTGTCTGTCTCTGTGACTGTGATCCAGATGACTGTGATTGTAACTGTAACTGTTCATGCACTTTCGAATGTAATTCGGATAATAAATTGAAAGCCTTCTCGTCGTTCTGCTTCAACTGGCTTACGGTTTTTTGTTTCTTTAGTTGCTCCAGCATTCTTTCTAATTCATAAATTTTATTTTCCGACTGTCCCTGATCTTGAGCCAAATATTGAGACGATAAATTCACTTGGATGTTAAGCTCTCTGTTCGGCAAAAGATTCACTTTCCTTGGTTGGGAAACGATTAGGTACGATTTTCGAGGTCTACGCTTTGGTTTACGTGCAACTATCACGTATTGGGGCAGTGACTTTTGCTGTCTTACCTCGAATTGCGATGGAACTATCACAAACTGAGGGCCTTGTTTCGGCGGTGAATCAATGATATAAATTGATGGCTTTGAATCTTGTGGCTTCAATGGGTTAATTGGGGGCTGCTGGTCTAGGGACTGTTCTTTTGGTGAATCTACCTGTGAATCAATTAAGTTTAACAATTGTTTAGAAATATCGACGGATGGATTTGAATCAATAACGTAAAATTGAGGACTTGGTTGCTGAGGAATTGGTTTAATTATCCCTTGTGGACTAGCTAGATCCTCTTGAGGCCTTGGTTGTGACTGCGTCTGTGACTGCGATTGTGATTGCAAATGTGACTGCGACTGTGACTGCGATTGTGACTGCGATTGTGACTGTGATTGTGACAGCGATTTTTTGTTTCCCTTAGAATCAATGATGTAGACCGGAGGACTTGATTCCTGCAGAATTGCTTGTGTTAAATCATCTTGAGGCCTCTGTTGAAAGAAGAGAGGTCCAGGATTCTGTTCCTGGAAAGTCTGCGATTGTGACTGAGACTGTGACTGCGAAGATGGCAGTAATTGTGACTGCAACAGTGATTGTTTGTTTCCCTTAGAATCAATTATGTACACTGCAGGATTTGATTCCTGTGGGATGGCTTGTATAAGGCCTAAATCCTGAACAGGATTCTGTTCCCCGACATTTTGCGATTGTGACTGTGACTGGGATTGCAACCCGGGAAATGACAGTGATTGTGACTGCGATTGCGATTGAGATTGCGACTGCGCAGAGCTTTCCAGGTTTCCAGATCCAATTTCCAAGTTCTATTATTAATTAAATTAACAGATTGCGTGAGCCGTAAGCTGATTGAAAAATCTCTAGCTTTTACCTGTATCAACGACTGAGACTGCTCATCCGTTTGCTGTTGCTGGTTCCCAGGATCTAGGAATGGATTCCATGCCTGACTCTGGCTGGGTACAACTGCACTAAGAAAAGTGACCGCACAGATCGCGAGATTGAATACGATAGTCATTCCGGTGCTCAGCTTACTTAAGAAAGCGAATCAAAGCGACACCTTTTATAGGTTTGCCGTTAAGAAGCCTTGAAATTCGAATAGATATGCTTTGAGTGGAGTGCCAAACCGGAGATAAGCCGCTTATCATGCCGATGTTGCATCACTAACCAAGAATGTAGCAAAGGTTACATCGCCACGAAACAGCCTTGAATAACCCTTTTAAAACCTTGTTATCCTTGGTCCATTTCTCAGAATCAGACGGCACATATATTTTCTAATTTAAAAACCTGCAAGCAGGGTTAACGTCAACTGTCTCGAAGTTCCTCTTGGGGGTTTTTTGATCAGACATCGAAGATTGTCCGACAAAAATGTAAGTCAAAGGCTAGACTTTTGAAAAAAGTATTTAAACTTTTCAATTTTATTGCTAAAACGGCAAGAAAATTAAAATACACGATTTTTACTAGATTGGTCTAACTCCGAAGGTGCAAAGGTTTTTCCTTGCAACTACTGAAACGAATCTTCTAATTTACATTTACCGGACAACATTTATAAAAATGTTTTGGTTGAATGGTTGGCCCAACCGCCCCAACTGTTCCATAAATCAAAAGTTTTCAAAACTGTATAGTCGTGTATTATAAGTATTTTATTATATTGGTATCAATGAAAATTAAGTTTAAGAAATAGCAACTTTAAACCTTTTAAACCTTTTCAATATTTCCTCTCCTTTCTTCTAAGTCTCCCAACTTTTAGCGGTTTGAACCGCAGAGATCGAGGACCCGATCGTAGACCAGGGGTCGAACGTCCTTCGAGATCGTAAAGTCGAAGTGGGCGAATCCACTGAAGCCAACCTTCCTCTTTTCGATGCAGTTGGGCAGGCGCTGCTGGAGCAGGGTCACATCGTTTTCGGATCCCAGCCAGTCGCCTCCGCCATGATGAAGTGCCACCTTGCTGATCACCTTCGAGAGGTTGTAGCGGGGCGGGACGTAAGATTGGTAGCGCAACCGATTCCGCAAAGCCCCATAGTCATAACGTTGGAAAACATTTTTGCCCACCATCTGGGCGAAGTGGTAGATCTGCTTGGCGGAGCTTCCCTGCGAGGCGTGGCCTTCCACAATGGGAGTGAGTGTCTAGAAAGAAAGTTTTATTAAATCTACATAAGGCGGATACCAATTCCCAACCTGGTTGAAGCTCTGCCAGTTGAAGCCGCAGAGCACAAAGTCAAAGATGGCACAGATGCGGCTGGTCAGCATGGAAGCGGAGCAGATGTTCTGCCGGAACTGCTGAATGAGCTTGGTTTTTAGGGAGACCTTGTAGCCGCCCAACAGATTCAGCAGCATCTGCCACAAGAACATAGATCACCATAAATATATTTATTATATTTTATACCTACTCACCGTAAAGCCACCCTTGAACAGGCCCAAGAACTTGAGTACAGGACTGCGGGCTCCCTGCATGAAGACCGTCGGGGACAGGGACTGCATGAGCTTCACCTTGGTGGCATAGTCGGGTCTCACACTGCTCATCACAAAGAAAACGGTGGAGCCCTGCGAGTGTCCAATGTACTGGATGCTCGGCTGGCTGGTCTGCTTGAGGACCAGATCGATGGCAGCGGGTATGTCGTATATGCCGATCTCGTGGAAGGAAAAGTCCCAGAAGTCCTTGTCGCTCTGGCGATCTTTGCCACGCTCTTCCGAATAGACATTGCCCCTGGTATTCAGCATCCAGACGTCGAAGCCCTTGCGGTAGAGGATGTAGGCCAGTCCGGACGAGGGACCGAATTGCACCCAAGAGGCCGAGCTGGCCATCAGTCCATGGACCAACATGACCGGTGTGGCTCCGGGCCGGGGAATTCGATGCAGGCAGAGTTTGTAGCCATCCGCGGTGTGCGCAAAGTGGGTCTCTGACGGATAACCGTATTTCTGGATCAGGGCCACCTATGAATGGGGAAAATATTTGCAAACAATGGGTTTAATAGCTGCCTTCTACACGATTACTCACCGTCTGCAACTTGGCGTCAATCTGGATGTCCCTTAGCGACAAGTATGGCGGGTTAGTACCCTGGCATTTACCACACGTCCGTGGTTGTATAATATCGGTGTTTTTAATGTTTAAATGCAAATTAATCGTAAGGTTTCCCGGAAGAAAGGAAGCCGCCGAATGTGTTAGCTCCGGAATAATCTGTACGTGTGATTTTGACTCTGCTGATTGAACCGCTTTTTCTATATGAGCATCAGCCTGCGATTGAGCCAGGGATTCCAGTTGCTTGCCTATTATATATTTCGGCAGTAACGTGTCTCCATATTTAGCTACAATCTGATTTTTAATATCCTCTATTTGTCTTATCTGTAACTCCTGTTGAGCTAGCGCGTGTGCTTGAGCCTGCGAAGGATTCTGTGTTTGAGCTCGAGCCTTACCTAGTGACCTTTTCAGCGATACAATAATTTCATACAAGTGTGATTTAAGATCATATAGTATGTCTGATCTGGCTTGCAATAGTTGTTGAGTTTGCGCCAGTAGTTCTATCGCATCATCTTTCGTGGGAGCTCGCTTTTCCGCTTCCGGTTTTGCCTTGGCCCGTGATTGAACCTCTGAGTTAACTTGCATATTTATTTGATGTAGTGTTTTTTCCATCTCTCTTAATTGCTTTTCAGTCTGGAAGTGGGAGATACCTACTTCCATGGCCTGTCTCCCGGTTTGAGATGCCGCTTTTGCATAGGCCTGCGACTTAGCCCAATCTGCTCGTTGAGAGTTGTTCAGTAAAATAATCTGAGCTAATAATTTCGATTTAAGCTGAGATATCGCTTCTAATTGCGCTTTAGCTTGTTCTCGAGCTAGCTTGAGTTTGGCTAGCACTTCATTTAGCGACTCAGCTGCTACTTCTGATTGAGCTACCGCTTGTAAGCGTGCTTTGAGTTCTGCCAGCGCTTGGGATTGGGATTTAATTTGTGCCAGAACGTCTCCTCGAAAGCGGGCCTCCGTTTGTACGCTAATTTGAGGCAGCAACTTTGCTTGTGCCAATTTCGTCCCCAGAAATGCCTGAATTCCAGCTGGGGATGCGTTTTTAGAAAAAGGATTCTCAGCAGCGTCATTAAGAATTTGTCTTGATTGGCGATCAACGAGCAAATATTTTGACTTGGCCAGAGGCACATAGCCGTCGAGATTGGGATTTAAAATTGGCGGTTGCTGATCAATGAGCAATCTAACTTGCGAGTCCTGTATTTCTCCCCTTGTTGATCCGTGGTTTTCTAATAAAGTGTGAGCCGAAGGCACATAGTTCGATCCATGGGCGACATCCAAAATTCCTGCGCTGTGCACCACTCTACTAATGGCCAACAGCGCGAAGGTCGCGCAATAGAAACCGATCCGCATTTTGGTGCTAAACCGACTTTGAATCGAAGATCGAACCAGAACCTTTTATAGACTCGTAGATAAAATACCATGAAATTAAAAAGATATGGACTTTCGAAGCAATGTTAAGGGTATTATCTTTCGATATTACGTAACTAGCCGGAAACTAATATTGGCTGAAAAAAACCTAGTTAGAATCGGATCCAGAATGATATTTCTAAAGAAATTTTCATCCAAGGGTGACAAAATACGACAGTATTGAAAATTATCTGAATTTTTACCTTTTAAGAGAAATAGAAAAGATCTGGAAGAAATTTTAATTTTTTTTTTAATAACGGTGTAATTTAGCACTTTGGTGTATAATAATAAATAAGCAGAGAGAAAACTATAATTTGAAATAACCGTATATTTACTAACAATTATTCACAACTGTTTATACAAATACCTTAAACCTAAAAAATTGTCTAAAAATACAGAAGACCTTATATTTTTGAAAATGGGTTTTTTTGCTCATTTCTAACTGACTTGAATAATAAGTACTTAAACAAATATTTAAAGTTTAATGATATATTTATGTAGGTAATCGAATTTAAAGCGCATGGACTAAAGAAAAGTTTCAAAAGTTGTGCCAATCTAATTGCACAAGTGCACGAAGCGCAGCCGTTATTATCCCTGTTCCTTGTTTCGTCCTTGTTCCGGTGGCGTTGGCAAATTCACGCCACTCGCTTGTTTGCGCAAATTTGATTATCAAAATACCCAAGGAGAGTGCAGCCGCGGTCGGGAAAGTCGGAAAAGTCGGCAAAGAAGTCGCGAAGCGAAGAAGGATAATGCCATGTCGCCGCATTAGCGCCTCTGGTGGGCGGGGGCGGGGGTCGTGGTCGTTGTCCCGTGAAACAAGCTGGAAATTGAGTTTGACTGCCTAGTGTCCCTGCGCCTCCCCCGCCCCTAATGCCATGCCCCATTCAGCCCCTTCGCCTGCTGGGCTGATTAAAGCTCTGCTAGCCAACTTGTGGTGATTTGTTTTATTTTTTCAGGCATATCATTTGGATGCACTGCGACCCTGCACAAATGGGGCATTAAGCCGCCCGTCAGGACCCGACACATATTAAATTTCATCTCGCCGCCAGTCGGATTCGGAATCGGGCGCCTAATGAAGGTTAAGCAACTTTTAATGTCCCGGCCCCGGCCATTTTGCAGACCATTAAATGTTTCGCCTGGCAATATGCCATATGCTTCCAGCATGGACATAAGCCCCGTCCGGGAAACGCTCTGCAAAAACTTTCCTTATCATTTCAGCGCCAAAAGCCATAAAGACGTTCGCTAAGTCGGCGTGTGTTGGTGATGACATGACGATGACAGTAATCGTAATCCTAGTCATGGTAATGATGACCCTGGAGCTGGAGCTGGAGGCCCAGCCAGGCCATATGAGCATATGTTGTTGGTTCCCGGAATCAGGTTGTGCACAGACACTTAACGCTCATGTGGAGGGCTAACGAGCGATTTCACCCTTTATGGCCTGAATTTGGATACCACCGGCCATCGGATTCCGTCACAAGTATTTTCAATTAGTAATTCAACTGTGGAAATCGGCGTCGCTGGCGTATCGGCGTATCGCATTGATATGATTGCTCTTTATTTTATTAGTTTTAATGGCATTCCATTCGGCTTCCTATGTAGTTCTCCTCACCTCTCGTGTTACGTCTGATGGACGCTTTCCGGTTTCCCAGTCGATCGCAATTGCTGTGACTCTCCACTGTCTCAGTTGCTCGTGAGTTAAGGTCAACTCGGAAAAGGGGACCCTTTCCCACTCAAGCAGAACTCAAAACAGTCTTAAGTGGTATGAAGATTTTAACATTTGAACTTTAGTGTACACGCAAAAATAATGTGTTTGAAATTCACAAAACTTCGTCAAACTTTCGTTAAATAAATAAATCGAAATTTAGTGTATAAACCTATTGATTAAATGAAGAATTCAGTACCTAAACACAATTATGTAGGCCTTTCAAACTATTTTGTATAGAAATTGTTGTTGGAATTGATTTACACTTTTACACTTTACAAAGTTTGCAACGCAATTGAACACCCTAAGTATATTCTATTTTAACAGTAAACAAGCTTAGAAAACTCTTATAACAGGACATTTGATGTAAAATATCTTTTAAATTATGAGATAAAAAGCAATCTTTAAGGGTCGAAATCGCCTAATAGCTAGTACTTTTGTTTCAGTGTCTCGTGCTGCATGGTTATGTGAGCATTTCCATGTTCACACAAGTACACAGCCCCTTCCACATGGCACTTCCCTCTGTAATTTCATGCTCCATTGGCCAAGGAAATCGCCACACAATCAAAGGAAAAGCTTCGCCCTTTTGGTCAACGCTTGAAGTTATACAGCCGAAGTGAATGCTAAGAATTTAGCCCACATTGTCGGAATTGCAGCGTTTTTAAATGTATTCAAATTCCCTGGCACAATTTACGGACTTCTAAATTTGTTGGCGGGCGGTTTCGAAGCCAGCCTCGTACATTTTTCATGCAGCTAAAACGCAACTTTCGATTGGCGTTTGTCCAGGGTCTTTGTTGCGTTATTTATGCAGTTTCCTCGTGGAACACTATCTCCAGCTGTCGTTGTTGTTGTTACTGCAGTCATGGCCACTTGTTTCCGCACGCCATTTCTTTCGAGGCTTCTCCACTCCACGCCGGTCCCCCCAATTTTTATTTATTTTTCCCAGCTTTTTTGTTTGCATTTTTTAAACATTTCTTTCTGCTGTTGCTGTTGCTGTCGGGGGCCCCAACACGAGAAGTCCATTTCGAAATTTATGTACACACAAATTGAAAGCGCAGGGAGGGACTGAGAGCCGAAATGAAAGAAAGAAAAGTGTTTTGGTACTGGCAGAAAAAAGTTGGCTGCATTTCTCGAATTGCAGTTTCGGTAAAAAGAATTCGGGGAAGAAAAAACAAACGATATGCCTTTAAGTGACACTTGCCAGGAGGTTTTGTATTCCCGGACGGTGGAGTCCTTTGGGTGGAATGAAGGGATTGTCCTAGCAATCGCTTTGTCCAAAACAGCAAAACGTTTTGAATGTTGATTTTGGAGAGCGAAAAGGGCGAGGAACCTGAAAAAAGAGCGCAATTGAAAAGAAATCAGATAATGCCACAAGTACTAGAGAAATTGAAACACAAAAATCTTTTCTTTTTGAAATATTATTAGTCATTATTTAATCAAATAACATTATTCAAATATTTGTATCCTTTAAGAAAATTCCTTAATAATTAGGTATTTTATTCTTGAAAGGAAAGCCCTGCTTAAAGCTCTTTCAGTCCCTTTACGATGGGCTCATTTGCTAGACCCACTAAACAATAAACAAGCCGCGCAGTTTATTGCCCTCTGAACTTCTCGGCAGAGCGAAAAAATCACCTCGTTTATAAGGCGGCATTGGCAGTTGCGATTGCTCTTGGCATAAATTAGATGCGGCAGCGGCTTTGGAAAATAGGTTGCCGTTTGTGCGGCTCCTGGCTTCTGGTTTCTGGTTCCAGGTTCCTGGTTCCTGCTGCCCGAGGCGTGTCTTTGTTTCGGTGGCGGTGTCATCATGGGTTAACCCGGGCTGAAATTAACCCAGCTGAGCCCACGAAGCTGCGATCCGCTTCCTGTCAGTCTTTTTGTCCATCAGTCTGACTGACTGACTGCATTTGCATTTCAATGCCCTGCCCTTTTAAAATGCCTCTGCTGTACAGAGAACTGAGTTCCATACTTTTATTAGCAAGACTAACTTTTAGGAATTAAAAAAAGAATAAAAGAACTTCGTTTTGTTAAAATATTGTCCATAAAATCATAAATTTAAAATATATTTATAAATCAAATGTAAGTTAGTAGTTATTATTAGATTATTGGTGATTTTCTCCCAGTGCCCCTTACTGTATCCCTAATTCTAAACTCAATTATCGCTGAATGCGCGACTGGCAACTTTGTCTTGTGTATGCTAATTTCATTACAATGCAGTGGAGGGGTCCGATCCCAGCCACAGGACCCAGCTCAATACCCAATGAATTATGATGGACGTTGTCATGAATGAGGCGCACTCACACATCCAAATAGACCCTGTGGTCGGCGGCTTTGGACCGTGCGTGTGTGCTGGCCATGTTTATCTCTCTGGCCAACGTATACTTAGCACTTTTGTCGGGAAACGAGGGGAAATCGGGGGATTTGGGTTGGGGTCTGTGGGTTAGGGGCTGGTCAATGAGCGTTTGGCGGGCACACACGCTATCAGTAGATTGCTGGCTAGGCGTTTTTGTCCGACACGCCCCACGTACCCAAGTGGGGAAAGGGCTGAAAAGGGGCTCTGGGCGAAATGAAGTGCTTACCGCCGGGCAACTCCCAATAACGCGGAAACTACACTGAAGAAAAAAGCCCAGAAGACAGCATTGAATTCATTGAAAATGTCTATTAATAATCGAGTATTGGAAAAATCCCATTAAACTTAAAAATATCAATATAATTTTGTAAAAAACGAATAAAAGATAGGTGTGTTGAAGGAAATATCTAGTGAAGTTACGTTTTAAAATCAATGACCAAAGTAAAAATTTCGAAAGTAGAACATTAAAAAAACTTTTCTCTTCTGCTATCTACAGGGTTTTTATCAGAAAAAAATCAGAACATCCCACTTTTCGTCGCATGTCAATAATGCGCCCCGTATAAAAACACTTTAAAAGTTAATTAAAATGTTTAAAATTCTTCAAATCGAATATAAATAGAGATTATTTTTAGAGTTTACTGGGTTATTCAATAAATGTTGGGTCTTATAAAACTAGTTTTAAAAATGCAGGATCCGCAAAAGGGTTCTGATATCTTGTCCATTGCAATTATTCCAGTGTAGAGCTTAGCGTTGTAGCGAAGAACCCTTTGGTTGCGCCACTTCATTATAAACATTTCTCAATTGATTATCGTTAGTTTTCCGTGGGTGGGCACGCGTGTGGGGGAAGGTTGCATGTGGATGTGTGATAATGCCATAATTATGCCCCTTCCTTGGCGTGCTCGACGCTACAGCTCGTGTTATAGTTGCGGCTTTTGCCTCGCCGATTATATTTGCACGCATGTCCTTTTTCGCTGCCTATCCTTCCCACTTCCCTTCCACTTACACTGCGGGTTTTACGCCGTGTTTTCACGGTTGTCCGGGCTACTGGATCCACTTTTTGCATGCGCCCCGCACATTTAAGTAAGTAATCCCCATAAACTGCTCTTGAAATATTTCATTATCGTAATGAAAAGGACTACAGCACATTACATTTATTTTTCGTGCTGCCTTCGCAGCATGGAGTCCTTGTCAGATACTGATAATAAAATGGCCAAACTGTTTGGCCATGAGATATATTTATAGAAACTTCCATAATGGCCATGCAAAGGAATAAATTTCAATGCCTTTATTTTGGCTTAAGGGATTTTTAGTGAAGGATTCTTAATTCTGTTTGGCAAGTGACAGGTTGATATGTATTAGGACATAATAAAGGGAAAGATGAATAATTACTTGTACTTTAGTCATACGCATGAATACGAATTAGCTGTGTTTTCATAGAAATTGTACTTTTGTTTTTTTACTTTTATCCTTTTCCCTCTTTTAAACAAAATTTATCTGCCCTTTTTATGAAAAATACTGCCATCCCCTTCAGATTTTGCACACAAATCAAACTAAATCAATCGCCGACAGAAGCTCAATTCTTGCCACTCCCTCAGGTGCAATTAGTCGCACAAACAAGTTTTCATTAAATCGGCTTAATTCAATTAATTTATGGCTGCAAATTACGAATCATATTAAATTAAATAACGATGCATCTTTTACAAAGCTCAAAAGTGACACAAGGCTGCAGGAAAACGCTTCAACTGGTGGTTATCGGTTCATATGAGTTCGCTCCTGACTCCAAACTTGTTGGCCAGTGCGGAAAATCATCCTTGCCTCGCAGCTGAATGTCTTCTCGTTTTCCATAAATTAATCAATTCCGCGGCCATTGCCGCTGTCAGTTGTAATCCTTTATCACTCGTTCAGTTTATTGATGCCCGGCGACAGGACTCTCCGGCTCCAGATATTTCTGGGCCCGTGACAATACGCAAATAATGACGTAATTAATGAAAAGAGCGTCATATTTTTTATTGCCAGAAATTAACAAGCAGTCGACACAATCGATGGCCGCTTTTTCCGTGGACTCCCTTATGTAAATCAGTTATACATCGCATTCGAGTTAAAATGGAATTAACTTAAATTCCCGTTTTCATTATCAGTTATTGGTTCCAAAATGCAGGGCTATTTTGCCAGACTTAAATATTAAATTCAGGCTAACGCCTGGAAGTGGCAGGGATCCACCGACTGTGACCCTGAACTTGTCGCACTGCAGAAATAAATTTTAAAGGCAGATCCAGATCCATGTACTGCGGCACGTGCACAAAAGTAATTACCCCTTTTACAGCGAGTGGGCGTGGCCGGGGGCAGTTGAGTGGGGCTGACAGCTAAAAAACGAATTGTAATTGGCCCAGAGACAAGTGTTGCGCACAGAAAACATTTATTTCCATTTTTAAAGATGTCGAGTTTTTAGTTTTTTTTATTTTAAATTGTACTTTATGTTAGAATGTAATCACTAAAGCGTAATTATATATTTCTGATTAAATATTAAACAGTAAATTTCCATTCTGATGTGACACTTTTTCAAAATTATTATTAAGCATTTAAATCTACCTAAAGCATTTTTTAATTTATATAATGATGGATGTATTAATAGTGAGTTTAATATATACACATTTAAATAGCTGATTTTCTGAATAAGCCTTGACAATTATGTCAGTTTCAATGGTACCCTTAAAATAAGCAGAACTTCTTTACTTCTATAAAAAATTAGATTTAATGTCGTTTCGGTACTCTGTGTTAGTTAAAAAACTTGAATAATTATATTCATCCTTTTTTCTTTCTGTGCTTCATCCAGAAGCCGTTTGGAAGTGAGTGCAATATGGCGACCCCGACCCAACTTGTCTGGCCCACACTTGACTTTAACCTCGGCTAAAGCGGAAGTTGTTCCTTTGACTGGCCAATGGAAGACTATATTGTTCTGTTCTGGCTCAGGTCCAAAAACTTCGCTAAAGTCGTAAAGTTTCAGAGGCTGACCCTTCTTCGCCCCGGCCACTTTTTCACTTAGGATTCACGCACTTTTATTTCTCTGGCGCCGTAATGAGCCAAAACTCGGAAGCAGTTGCTGCTTTCGGCCAAGACAAAGATTTCGCATGAAATTTTATGCGCGCGTGATTAAAAGTCACGTGCGTGGCCAACATAAAGGGGTTCTTTGATGGGGCTACTGAGGTGGATTTGACCGACTGCTGCAGCTAATGTGAACCCACGACAAGCGAACAATGCTGATCATAATCTCAGCCACGCCAGATGCTGCCACTAACGAGTTTTCAGCTCTGAACACTCCAACCGATTTGCTCTACATTTTTAGAAAACTCTTTAGCAATGGGATACAAAAAATATAATGCGGAAAAAAATAATAGAAATATTAATAGAGTTAAAGACTATAACTTGTTCAATGTCTTTCTGTTATTTAAGTTATACACTGGTCCTAAATTTGATTGATCGCCTGATTTGAGCTTCTGTTAGTCTCGTCCTTCTTCCTACACTATTTTCCCAGTGTATCCTGCTAGTTGCGCCAGGCATTTAAGGCTAAGAGCTGTGCTCCCATTGTCTCAGCACTGCTCCCACTAAGGGCTCCCCGGCCAATTGATTGGTCTCGTTTTCATTGTTGTCCAAGCGGGTTTTTCTGGCCTGCACCTCAGTCGACTGCAAGTTGCAACACGCTTTCGGCCTGTTGATTGTCGTGTGATTGGCAGTTGGCACAGTGATAACAAATCCATTATGGAGCAGGCCAATGGCTGATTGTCGTGGCACGCGTCGGGACTTAAAGGAACCGCCTCCTGGCTGGTCCGTCTATTAAGGTGAGACCAGGAAATTATGCAACCCAGCTGACAGCTAAATTTCTGAACTTAAATAAGTGGGTTAAAAGGGCAACGATTTGCGTTTAATGTTTTTGGGGGAAATAGCTTGCTAAATCGCGGAACTCTAAGTAACACAACTAAAAAACGGGGAGAACAACAGGCAATTGAATAACAAAAAAAATGACACAAACAAATTTAATTTTAATTGTTTTAATTTTTTATTTATTTTTATTTTAATCCGGAAATTTATTACGAACTTAACGCGACCAGCAACAAGTGTTACTTATGGATTAGGCAAATAAAATAAAAATAAAATGTCTTATTATATTTAGATACTTGTTACTTAAGGATTAGGCAAAAAATCTGTTCTGTACTTTTTATACCCGTTACTCGTAGAGTAAAATGGTATATTGTATTCGTGCAAAAGTATGTAACAGCTAGAAGGAAGCGTTTCCGACCACATAAAGTATATTCTTGATCAGGGTCACTAGCCGAGTCGATCTAGCCATGTGTACATGGACTGCCGTCCATAGTGATTTACAGTAAATATTATTTACTGCTAGAAATGTCAGAGGGTGTTAATAAATATTACACATTGAAGAAACTTGATCAAGTTTCATATAAATATATACATTCTGTCACTGAAGTTTACGATGCAGGTTATTATCCGGTTGCATTTCTAAACAAAAAGAATCCACTAGGATCTACCTTACATATTCGTACAATTAAGAATTGTGCAGCAATTACGTTTAAAACAAGAAAGGAAGCTAGCTTCGGCCAGCCGAAGCTATATACCCTTGCAGATCATTCCTATTAATTAACAAATCGCAAAAATGTTCAATTTTCTAATATTTCTCTTTAATTTTCCGATCGTTCCTATGACAGCTATATGATATAGTCGTCCGATTTTGATCAAATTAAAATTGAAATTCGGAAATATTTAAAAAGAGTCATATCCTAGAGTAGAAGATAATACAATTAAAACCAAAGAAGCTAGAATTTATTTCCTATTACTTTTCCATTAATTTACCGATCGTTCCTATGGCAGCTTTATGATATAGTAGTCCGATTTTTTAAATATTTAATTCGAAATTCAGAAATATTTAAAAAATAACATCCCCAAAAGTAGAAGGTAATATTTTAAAAAACACCGAAGCTAGAATTTTTTTAACGTTTTCTTTTCCGATCCTTCCTATGGGAGCTATAAGATATAGTTATCCGATCCGGTTGGTTCCGACATATATACTACCTGCAATAGAAAGAAGACTTTTGGGAAAGTTTCATTTCGATAGCTCAAAAACTGAGAGACTAGTTTGCGTAGAAACAGACAGACGGACAGACGGACAGATGGACAGACGGACAGACGGACAGACGGACATGGCTAGATCGACTCGTCTAGTGATGCTGATCAAGAATATATATACTTTATGGGGTCGGAAACGTCTCCTTCACTGCGTTGCAAACTTCTGACTGAAATCATAATACCCTCTGCAAGGGTATAAAAATGTAAAACCTCTATATGTGTAGTGATTGCGACAAAGGGGAAATTGTTTTTATGTTTTAATTCCACTAATATTTATTATCAAATCTATCCGTTCAGTTTAAAAGACAAAAATTAGGCAATATTTTTTGGCATTACCATTGACACTGTTGGCAAATTAATTTAAAAGGCATCCCATAGGCGCTGTTCCTTGAAGTTCTCGCCTTTCGAGCATGAAACCGAGGCTTCAACTTCAACATCCTGCCAACTGACTTGTGCAGAGCCACAGCCCCGCCCACTGTGCGCCCTACGCCCCCTGAACCGCCCCGGCCACATGGGCCCGCATGCCATGAGATGTCAAGTTGCCAAGGCTGCCACTTCCACCCACCTCCACCCTGATCCACCCTGCTCCACCCTCCTCCCATGACGGCATTGCCAACATGTGGTGACAACGCCGAATTAAGTTATTTGTCAAATGTCGAAACGTTGGCCGGCGCAGTCACATCAGGCCTATCCCGGCATCGCTTGTGGACCCGGATCCGAATCCGAATCGAAAATCCGGACACGGCCCGGGCCTGGAAAGGATTTCGCTCCGTCCGCGCCGCTTTGTCAGCCTGTCAGTCGTCGCCGTGACAGCAGTTGCTGCAAATAAAGGAGCGGCAAATATTTTATGCAGAAGCTGAAATCAATTTTTGCCAATCAATTGCGAAAAAAGAAAGCGATGACGTAGGCAATGAAAGGGACGATTCAAATGTTTGGCAAGTGGACACGGTCCACTCCACAACTGAATTAAAAATTAAATTTTCCAATTAAGCCGGCAAACATTTCTAGGATCATACGCTTTTCGAAGTGGCGTGGCAAATCTGATTAAAAGGAGAGCGCTTTGATTTTGTCGGTGGTGGGCAATGGGATGTAGATGCATTCAAATGAATCAAGGGCCTTTAAAATAGTAAATACAGGATAAAGCAGTGTTCTTTGTAAGGCCATAAACATTAAATTTAATTTTTTATTTTAGCCGAAACAGAGAGAAACAATTATATTTATTGATTTTTGATTAATTTTTATGGGCCGCATTACTAGTTTAATTTAGCCGAGGTTCATAAAAACATTTCTATTTATTTGCTTATAAGGAAAATTAACAAATTCAAATATTTCATGGATTAAATTCATTTTTATGGGCCGCAATTTTTGTATTTCTAGTTTAAATATAATCCTTTTTATTGTTGTTTTATTTTTAAATAAAAATTTACTGATCTTGAACGGAGTAATTAAAAGCAGTTTAAAATGCAGTTACTCAATTGCTGATAGGTTAACAATTTTGTTATCTGGACTAGCCGTTTCAGCTGATTTATTGTCCAAAAACTCGGCTAGCTATAGCTTATTAAGTGACTGCAGCTCGCAGCAATTAACGCCACTGATCACTCTGAACTTTGACCGCATTGTACGAATTTCGTAATACCAAAACATTTTCATTCGCTTCAATTTGAACATTTTCTGTCACATACAACCGAAAATGAGCTGGCCACGATTCGATTATACGATAAGCTGAAAAAACAACCCAAACAATAGTCCGTACTAATTACAGCGCTTTAGTGGGCAGTGAGCGCGGACTTAGTTCGATTTAGTCACGGATCGAACGCCATGCGACACGCGATCTGGTTTCTCGCAGTGCTGGGGGCTCATTCGCTCGATGGGTCTAGGGTTTTGGCTGGATACGCAGAGGACAACTTCCCGGCGAGTGTGATCGAGGATGCCCAACTGAACACCGTGGGTACTGAGTGCATTTCCAAGGGATCCCACCTGTCCAACTCTCCCATTTCCTTGCTATGCAGATACAACTCCTGGAGAAGTACAAGCATCCGGCGGAAACGCATCAGGTGACCACGGAGGATAAATATGTGCTGACCCTCCATCGCATTCCCCGACCTGGGGCCAAGCCAGTGCTGTTGGTTCACGGCCTGGAGGACACCTCCTCCACATGGATCGTGATGGGTCCCCACAGTGGCCTGGGCTACTTCCTGTACGCCAACGGCTACGATGTCTGGATGGGCAATGTCAGGGGCAATCGCTACTCCAAGGGCCATCTGAAACTCAACCCCAATACGGACAGGGCTTACTGGAGCTTTTCGTGGCACGAGATCGGGATGTACGATCTGCCGGCCATGATCGATGGGGTGCTGGATAAAACGGGATACCAGAAGTTGAGCTACTTCGGTCACTCCCAGGGAACCACCTCGTTCTTTGTGATGGCCTCGAGTAGGCCGCAGTACAACTCGAAGATCCATGTGATGAGCGCCTTGGCCCCGGTGGCCTTCATGAAGCACATGAAGGCCCCTCTTCTGGGAATGGCCCGCATGGGAATCAACATGTTCGGTGAAAACTTTGAGCTATTTCCTCACTCTTCCCTGTACCTCAACCAGTGTGTTTCCTCCGCCGCCCTGCTGAAGACCTGTATGCGTTTCTACTGGCAGATTGTGGGCAAGAACCGGGAGGAGCAAAATATGGTTGGTACTGGTGCGATACTTCCGTTGAGATTCCCATTTAACCACCCCCTTTACAGACCATGTTTCCTGTGGTAATGGGACATATCCCTGGCGGCTGTAATGTCAAACAACCCCTCCACTACATCCAACTGCAGAACTCCGATCGCTTCTGCCAGTACGACTACGACCTCAAGGAGAACCAACGGCTTTACGGTCGTCCCACTCCACCGGACTACCACCTGGAAAGGATCACCGCTCCCGTGGCCTTGTACTACGGCAGCAATGATTATCTATCGGCGGTGGAGGACGTCCAACGGCTGGCGAAGTCGCTGCCCAATGTGGTGGAGAACCATCTGTACCGTAAGTGGAACCACATGGACATGATCTGGGCCATCAGTGGCCGGCGCTCGATTCAGCCCAGGATTCTGCAAGTGATGCAGTACTGGGAATCAGGCGGAGGACCCAAGGAAGCCACCACGGGAAATCCGGTGGAGGAGGATGTGCCTCAGTTAACAACGGAATCCCCTGTTAATGGGAACCCAGAAGAGGATGAGGAGGTGGGAAGCATTGCTGGGAATGAGGAGCAACGAGAAAAGGATCAGGAGGATCATGTGGAAGGAGGAGATCAGGTGAAGTCAGCTACTGATCCGACTTCAGAGCTGTAGATTAAAAAGTCTATGGACAACACATAGGTTTTAAAGAAATATTATTGGTTTTACGGTTTATTGGGTGATTATTCGGTATATAATAAAACAAGAAGAAAATCAAGACTTCAATAAATGTGTTATTGTTGAATACTATCATTTAAGTTATTTAATAACCGTGTGCAAAATTTAAATGGTTCTTAATTAAAAATGGAAAATTCTGGTTAAGAATTGAAGCACTGACTATTGTAATTACATTAAGGAAATAAATTACAGAAAATATTTTTTGAAAGTGGAATTTTAATATATCAAAAATATTTCTTGCTTAAAGAAAATATTATTAAGGAAATAAATTACAGAAAATATTTTTTGAAAGTGGAATTTTAATATATCAAAAATATTTCTTGCTTAAAGAAAATATTATTTCCAAAGTATCACAAAATTTCTGGTATCGCCTGAAAACTTCAAGCCAGGCATCCGAGCTTTTCTTCGTATTTATGAGTTTTCGGGAGTTTGGAGGGGGGAACTGCAGCAATCACGTGCCACATCCGCCATATAGCCGCACTAATACCAACAACTGGAAACGTTTTGGGAATTTGAGAGCGCAACGAGGCGCGAAAACATTTACTCAACACTTAGCAGCTGTTGGTTAGTTTGTGGGGGCAAGTTTTCCCAGGGGGGTTGGGAGAATTGGGGGTTCGGCGGTTTGTCGGGAGTTGTTCTTGTTCGGCGACGTGCGGCGAAAGTTTTTTATGATTTATGAAGCAGGCGACGATGGAGCAGCTGCTGCAAGTCCTGTGTTCTGTGTCCTGTGTCCCGTGTCCCATGTCCTGTCTTCCATCTCTTGTCTGCCGTCTAGGACGACGGATGTGGATGTGGATGTTCGGGGGGCAGCTAAGCGCTTTCCCTTGTCAGTTTTGCAACTGCAACCCGGATATAAAAATTGCACTTTGATGCGTCTCCCTGGCACAGAACTATATATAGTGTAGTGCCAACAATGTGGGGACGAAACAACAAAAGTTGCTTTGGCGGTTTTTTCAGCGCTGTGCTCATTAAAATTTTCGCTTTTGTCAAACACACCAAACAATGGCGGACCCCCCATAAAACACTCGCACCAAACATTCTGGAAATGCCGACTCTGGCAGTTGACACATGCTGCTTTCTAAGCAATCGTGGCGCTAAAGTTAAGTGTGTAATTTGTGAAAGTGTGTGGTGGGCGGGTGGATGAATGCCAAAACAGCACAACAGAATTCATATTGTTGGCGACACATTTCCCGCTTCAAATGCTTTCCCCATCAAAAAAAGAAGAAAAATACAACAAAACAACTAAACTGCAGAACAAACACGGGAATCCGCACAGAAATTGGCACAATGAACTCAGGCTTTCGTGAGGCTTTTCCACAAATGCGTCGACAAATGAATAGCGTGGATATCTGGGATAGTGAAGTTTCTGGGCAAAGCAACACTTAGCTAAGTGTTAATTAAAAAGTGAAAATTGTCTGGTTTTTTAAACTCCCTAGATTGATTAACGTGAATACATAAAAAATACTTTTCCCTTTAACTTTCAACTGAAAGCCAATGAAGTGTACAAAAAAAACTATGCGCTTTAATTTTATTATGCCTTTTTTCATATTTATTCTGTTTCCGCTTTTTTTTTGTTTAATAAACTCATTTATATGTGTGCTTGTAGTTGCCCATGCAATTACATTTTTTGCTCTTCGGTTTGTTTGGATTTTAATATTATTACTATTATAAATATTTAAACATGCATAGTACTGGTAATTAACTGTAATTGTTGTTTTCGCTGTAGATAGGCTTAAGTTGAAAAGTATAAATAGTCCGTACATACATTGGAATTTAATTTTATGTATTACACCTTAAATAGAAAAAAAGTAGAATAGCCGAATGTTTAGTAAAAAATACATTAATATTTACAGGGAACTTAATTGTACATTAAATATTAATATTCTGATGCGTACTTGGTTTTATAAGCGAAACTCTTGGCTTTAAATTGGGTTCCGTGTTCGGGGACATTTATTTAATGCAGAATTTTCGGTGCTCTTAGATATTGAATGTTATTAAGTTAAGTTCAATTTGTGAACAATATTCTTAGGGCGCCGAAATTATTATTCGCACATTTAAAGGAGGCCTTTTTGTGTTCCTGTTCCGTGTTTTACCCATCGTACCTATAAAAACATGTTCTTTCAGTCTTTTAAATAAAAAACTCCCCCAACACGTTGATTTTGATTTCGTTTTAGCCTCAAACAAATGCGTTTTTACCCATAAACATTAACCTTAACACACGTACGTGTGATGACATACAGATGCAGATTTTTAGCTACACTAATTGCTAATTGGATTTTACCTTAGTTTTTCATTCGCTTGCGTTTAAATTAGATTTTTTTTTTGGTGTTCGCGATTTAACTCTTTTTGTTGCACGGTGCTTGATTTTTGGCTTTATATTTGTTTTGAATAACATTCAGAGCTTTATTATTGTATTTTACATCGAGTTACCTTTAAATGCTTTCAATTATTTTGAATAATTTCCCTCCGAATTGGCGCAGCGTTTTACAAACAGTGCCTAGAACTACGAATAGAGATACGATTAAATGGAGATATGTCGCTGAACCTTGCCCGAAACTACACGAACACACATTAATATATGTAAGCTGTCTGAGTAAACTGTTCGAATTAAGGTAATGCTATATAGACACCGATAACTGCCAAATGTCAAGCTCTATGTACACAATTTGCTACTGTTGACCCCTTCCGATTCGCACTCCCTTAGAAGTAATCCATTTTGGGCGCATCCATAGCCGTGTGCATGGTCAATGTGACTCCCCTGTTGATGCTCACTGCCGGGTAGAAGACTCCGTAGAGATCCCGGAAGGCCACCGATCCTTGGGGCATCTCGTTGACCAGGAAGCTCAGAGTGTGCCTCTCCAGATCCAGGAGCACTCCAACCGTACTTCCCGTGGTAATTCCGCCCTCGACTCGCCGCTCGTGAACCGAATTGTGCTGGAACCAGGATCGCTGACGGTCGATGTACATGGCGAATGACTTCTCGTCCTTGCCTGAGGAGAATTTAAGAAAACACCAAATTATATAGTAGTTGAAACCAAATTGTTATTGCGCTCTGTTGGGATGAAGCATTAAAAATAAACTGTCATCGAGCTGACCATTATGAAATCGATAGTGTAAATTTATGGTATTTAGAACAAATTTTTTTGTACTATGCAATTCTGGTAAAATTGTTGTTCAAAAAAAAAAAAAAATTTTATTAATAATATCATGTTGTTAAATAAAGTTACATGAGTAAAGGCGAGAAAGACACATTCGAACTTAGAACATGTTATTTACGTTTCGAGCATATCGAAATGATCATCGTTTCATATCATGTTTTTCTTTTCTTTTCTTTATCATTTTTATATTTTTAAAATTTTTGAACTTAAAACCTTTCCTATATCTAAATATAGCACAAAAAACGGATATGAGTAGTGTATCCTATTAAGCAATAAAAGAATGCTTTGCTTTCCTCTCTGCGCAAACCCCAAAAATCGTTTAACTAAATTCGTTGATAATTTTAATACCGCAAATAATCTTTGCTCCTCGTCTTGCTGACTTCCTGAACTCAGTTTCTGCTTGAAGTTGCGAACTTTAAACTCCGGCTGGTAAGATAACTCCCCCGACTCGCACTATCCATGGCTTGTCAGTTTCCTGACTGTCGTTTCAGTCCTGCGGAATTATAACTGACAAACGCAGGAGCATCGGGGCAACGGGGCAGGAAGGTGGGCGAGGGGCGGTATATAGAACGCATGAGAGTCGTAAAACAACTTGGCAAACTGCATCTGTTAGTGTCAATGTCAGTCGCTAGGGGCGCCACCTGCTCCGGAGTTACGCCAGCGCTTTTGCATATGAAAATTTAATTCGAAAACTTGAGTTTTCCGAGAGCGGACCACCGATGCTGGCGGGCACGTGTTAAATGGCGCGTGAGCAGCTTGGGGAATAAATTGTGTAAGTGAAAAGGATACAGGGGATGTCGTGAAAATAAAATTAAACAAGAAAGGAAGCTAGCTTCGGCAAGCCGAAGCTTATATACCCTTGCAGATCATTCTATTAATTTACAAATCGCAAAAATGTTAAATTTCTTATTATTTCACATTAATTTTTCGATCGTTTCTATCACAGCTATATGATATAGTAGTTCGATCTTTTAAAAATTAAAATCGAAATTCGGAAATATTTCAAAATAGTCATATCCCAGAGTAGAAGGGAATGTAATAAAAACCAACAAAGATATAATTTTTTTCCCATTAATTTCCATTTAATTTTTCGACCGTTCCTATGGCAGCTACATGATATAGTGATCCGATTTACAAAACAAAAAAACCGAAATTCAGAAATATATAAAAAAAAATATTCCCAAGAGTAGAAGGTAAAATTTAAAAAAACACCGGAGATAGAATTTTTTTACGTTTTTTTTTTTTGATCCTTCCTATGGGAGCTATAAGATATAGTTATCCGATCCGGTCGGCTCCGACATATATACTACCTGCAATAGAAATACGATTTTTACGAAAGTTTCATACCGATAGCTTTAAAACTGAGAGACTAGTTTGCGTAGAAACGGACGGACAGACGGACGGACAGACGGACGGACAGACGGACAGACGGACGGACAGACGGACAGACGGACATGGCTAGATCGACTCGTCTAGTGATGCTGATCAAGAATATATATACTTTACGGGGTCGAAAACGTCTCCTTCACTGCGTTGCAAACTTCTGACTGAAATCATAATACCCTCTGCAAGGGTATAAAAACAAAAAAAAGAGCGAGATGCGCTGCCGCAAATAAACTTTTGCATTTGACAAAAGTTTAAGTGCCGCACTTTTAATTACTTTTGTCTGCAGACCAAGTCGCCTGTGGAAAGTGCCCCCTTTCTCCTCCCACTTTCCAACCACGCACATTTTCAATCAATTTGCCGAGGCATACTTCAAGGCGCCTCTGCCGGATCCTTTGTTTGTACTCGTGTTTGTGTTTGTCTCCGTCGCCGTCTGGTAACGAAAGACTCCCGAGGTTCCGCTCCACGCACATGCAACAAGAAATGGCAAAAGTTTTCGATACGCCCCCCTACTTGGCACTCGATTTTATTGGCTTCGCATAGCGAGGCGGCAAAATGGCAAAGTTTTAGGAGCCGAACCCGAACTCCCCCCGGAATCCTTGTCTATTAGCTGCGAACTTTCCGCATACGTATTGGATCTTTTGTCAACGCCAGAATCCATTTGTTGTGCGGATTTCCCCCTCTGGTCTCCCCCCCTTTCGATCAAAGTTTCTATCCCTGCGCCTGCCTTGCATTTTTAATTGAAATTCGAATGCGACCAGTAACCCACTGAAAGGAGGAAATGAGTTGAGTACTCACCCAGCATTTTGTTGCGGGCCACGTCGATGCGGGCCACTCCGAAGGCGGGATCCGTGTCCGCCGTGTAGTTGTCGATAGTGAACTCCCAGTAGTGGACGCCCCGGGAGAATCCCACGGATCCGAGGGCCACGCGGTGCTCCCAGCCCTCGACGCTCACGGTGGCGTTGCTTTTGCTGAAGATTAAGCCCGAGCCGGCGCCGCCGCTCAGAACTGGATCAAACGTGAACCAGGCCACTGCAATGGAACAGGCGAAAATGCAGATGATAAATACACTTTGAAATAGTATTGGTATAGTATTCAGAAGCTTTAAGAAATATTTTTAGATTTGGTAAAAATTAAACTAAACTATATTTAAATCGTTTTCTGGATTTGGGGAAAATATTACTGTATTTCTTATTATTATAAGGATAAGAATAATTTTCCTCCCTGGCAAGAAAGGGGTTTTTCCTAACCTATTCACATTTTGTTTTTCTAACATTAACTTTGCAGTTGCCACTGATTAAAAGTGCCCTATTCAATGATATCCTATTACATTTTTGTAATTTTGGTTGTTCAAAAAGGGGATTTCTCCTAGTGCAGGGAGAAGCGCAAAGTGGAAAGAAAAACAAAGTCGGACTGGTTGCAATTTACCCCATTGTCAAAGCTCAAGTGGCCCGACGATTCGGAGTCCAAGTCGGTGCCTTGCAGTTTATGCTGTTATGCCCCGCAAAGTAGGCAACGAGTGGCGTCGAGTCGAGTGCTTTATTAAATTCCCTTTTTTATTGTTGTGGCCGCATTAAGTGGCCAAGGCTAGGCTGGAATCAGCTGGGACCGGCTATATATATTTATACATAGAGCTCCACTTCTCGGTCTGCTGACGATGATGACGTTGCCTGTTTTATTGGCCACCAAAGGCAATTGTGTGGCCAAACAAGCCACAAAGCAAGCATCTGGGCCAGGAGGACTCCGACTCCGGCTGGCCATTGTTTTGTTTATGTCGGGGATATGACTTTGCGATTAAAACTATGGGGGATTTGAGGCACGCACTATAAACCGAGAGCCCTGGATGCCGGCATTTAATTAGTTGTTATAAACCTTTCCCAGTTTCTTAATTGGATAACCAAGTGGGAGACGGAGCTGGAATGTTTGCCAAACGATTGCGTCTGAAGTTGGGATTAGGAGTCTATTAAAATGGCTTACGAATAGTCTCTAATCCCATTCAGTTTACGTTCCTTCTTTGTCCGAAAAATTCCTAATACCTCTTTAGATTTTTAGTCTTCATTGGTGCATCTTTAGTGAGAATGCTATGGTTTTAGGATGGAGCTTTAATTTTTGTATAGGTAATCCTCCATATCACCGCTTTTTAGTTGCCTTAATTAATTAAAAGCACTTCAACCCTTTTAGCTTCCTTAGACCATCGTCTTGTAAACTGTTTTCTTATGTCTTTAAGGTGTCAGAGCTGAGTCATTAGCGCAGACCGCCCGCAAAAGTCACGAGCCATAAACTGTTAACTGGTTTTTCCGTTAATTACTTAGGGACACGCGCTTTGTGTAAACACTTTATAAAATGGCAATTTGCAGTGGGATCGGCTTGGCATCGGCATCGAATTCGGGGTCGGATGGTCCGCTTAAATCGCCCGTGAACCCCGCGAAGACAACTCGCAGGCGCCGCGAAATAATCAATTAAAAGTTGCAAATTAATGGCGACCAACTAATAAAGCGACGGACAGAAACAGGACTAGGACTTGGACAGTAAAATGCTTCCTAGAGCGTTCTGGCAATTTAATAAATTAAATAACTTTACGCGGCGTTTCGTTTTGCGGTGGAAGGGAGTGGAGTGGGTCTCCTGGAGGAACAGGAGGAGCTGCTGTCAGGTGGCGCATGCATCAATCAAGTGAGAATTGGATTGCAGAAGACATCCTCTCCCCGGCTTCTCCCTTTCCCCCTCCCCCTACCACTACCATTTCCATTCACGTTTTCCTGCCCGGCAGGCGTAAAAGGGGTCAATGGCTGTTTGACATGCAAAGCACGAACGGGAAACCAGGAGGAGTCGAACTGGAGGTGGAATGGGGTGGTGGCGCATGACCGAAAAGGATTAAATTATAAAACAGTTGGAAAAGTAGCTCACAAGCAAGCATTGCACCCGGCAATCCAGCCAGGAGGAGCTTAATTGAAAAAGCTAGTAGCACCAGAGGTGGAAATGTGAAAAGCGGGACTCACCTTCGGCAGTCTGCAGTCCAATCAGCTCCGAGTATTCACCCTCTCCGGCGGAATTGAAGGCCTTCACCCGGGCATTGTACATCGAGTTGAAGTGCAGGCCGTCCACGGTGCAAATTGTTTCCTTGCCGCAGTAGACTTCCTGTTTCGAGACGAGATGAAGGGATGAGAAGGCAATCAAATTAAAGTTCTGGGTTAATAAATTGGAAGATGACAGCTATTCAGTCAGCCAATCAGCAGCTCGATTCGGCTATTCATTAGTTGTTCTCGCATTCAGTTCGATTTACTCGTTTACACGTTACTTTATTTCACATTGAATAGATAAACAAATATTTTAACAGGATATTTCTGGATATTATTAATTTTTTAGTTTCGACAATTATGTTAAGACTTGAATTACATAATTAAAAAATCATTAAATTCATTATTATTTTTTTTTTTTTAAGTTGAGTATATATCTTAATGACTTACCCTAAATTCTCCACCGCTGCCATCATCCAATTCCAGGACATAGCCCTCGACAAATGAATGATTTGGTGGCTGCCACGCAACGGTAACGGAATTATTTTCGGCTGAACAATCCGATGGCAGAATAGTTGGTGTCATGGGTGCTGTTGGAAAAACAAGGCAGTATTGTTAAACTTTGCTACAATAAAATCAAGAAAGGACCAGAAAATACCCAAAATAAGTGTTAGTATTGGGGAAAAAGAGGTTGTCAAATAATAGAAAGCCAAATTATCAGTATAACTAAGACAAACACCACAACCAATAAAATAGTTTCAAGGACAAGCAATTGATCCCTTGTAGAACCAAAACGGTAATGTCAGCCGTGAGTTACACTTAGTCGTTGGAGTTTCATTTTTTATTAATTGACCGGAGGGCGCCACGCCTTTGAGTCGTAAAATCAGGGACATAAAACCGACGCCTCGCAATAAAAATTCATGACACAACACAAATGGCGAGGCGAAGTGAAGCGCCTAAAATTATGCCACAAAATAAACATAAAAATGACGACACTTTTGGCTGTGTTTCGGGATTTTCGCTCCCTTGGGCCAGGCATCGAATTAAAAAGGCGCCAAAAGCTGTCAAATGCCAACGAAAAAAAAGCGAGGTACAAAAGTAAAAAGTTTAAATCAAGGTGCTCCGGCAATCAGGCTAAAAGTGTAGGGGATAAGCCTAAGCAGCCGGCTTGAAGAGGGTCAATTGCGGGGGAAAATACCAAAAAAGGCTAAGGTACGTAAAAATAATAACCATATAAAACGAAAAATGCGAAATAAAAGCTTAAGCATGAAATAATGAAGATGGGGAATGAGGCGGGAAGAGGAGTCAAATGAAAAGCGACAGGCAAAAGGAAAAAGCGGCGTAAAAAATTATGTCACTTGAAATGACATCGCTGACCACGCCCACCACGAAGCCGCCCCCGAGGGTTGACAGGCTGCGGTAAGGCATTTTTTGACATTCGCCAGGAACCGGAAGTGAAACCGAAAATATTTGGACGCATTTTCGGGCATTTTGTTTTATTTTTATTCTTTTTTACCCCAGCTAGTGGCTTAAATGAAAATGAAAAATTATTATGCGTAGGCGTGTGCCCGTCAAACGGAAGAGGCAAAGAACGGAAAACAAAGGCAGAAAGCAATGGCCAAAATCCATGAAAACAAAATGGCCGACGAACCAAGTCGATGTGTGAGTGAGCAGGCATGGATGTGTGTGTGTATGAGTCAGTGTGTGTGTGAGAGTCCAAAAGCACCAAAAATCAGTTTATCCCAGAAATTAAACTTCACGAGTTTCTGTCATGTGTGCAAAAACTTAAATTGTGTATTGATTTTTTCATTTCATATTTTTGCATTCACGTGATTTTAGTTGTTGCTCACCTGCCGGACATCTTTCATCTCCATCTTTGACGGCTTTAGATGGTTTTGTTTTTCAGTTTTATGGGGGTTTCATTTAAATGAGAGCAAGCGGCACATTCAAAATGAAAGGGAGATGCAAGAGAAGCACAAAAATGTTAGACATATCAGATGCATACAGTTTATAATCTATTTTAATGGTTATCTCGGTGAGCCAATGTGCACTATCCGATTTCAACACTTTCACTTTAATTGTCGGGAATCAATTTCTGGGGTTCCTTCGCTCGAATGTTGTCAACTCTTCGATTTTTCCCGGCACTCCACTAGTTCTAATTTTGAAACCCCTTCTCCTGGGAGTTCCCCAAACTATTTTCGAGCCCCTTAAGTTCCAACTCTTCAACGGCCCTCGATTGAAGGGCTCTTTCCGCTGTTGTTTCGAGGGCAGGTCGAGTGTGGGTTCTGTTTTTGTTTATGTTTATGCTGCTGTTTATGCCAGCAGGGTGGCCCAAAGTCACACCTTTGGCCAAGTGGGAGGGGGTGTGTGTGTTTGTGCGTAATTAGTGACAATATTTATGAGGTGAGTTTGCTTGGCACATACAGTTGGTCTCAATAATTCACCGGTGGTTAGAACATTATATTACAGAACATGAAGTTTGGAGCTCTATTGCTCTACACTTAAATACTTTATGAGATCTAAGCACAGTTTAAGATCACACTGCCTATAAATACATCTAACATTGGTTTTATACTTTTTTCTCATTCTCAAAATTTATTTAATCTGCATACCTAGCTTAACTAGCATTGCTATTAGTGTAATTATCAGTAAATATATCAACATTTTTTTTAATTTAGCCGTCACTCACCTTTCATCTGGATAAAGTTCAAGTTATCTATGGCACGTGCCAAAGCAGCATCATCGAGGGTCAAATCCACGATGGGGGAAACTCGAGGGGCAGCATTGGTGACCTCTTGGTGCCAGGTCATGTCCGTGTTGGTCACTCGATTAATAAGCATGGAACCCACCTGAAAAACAATATGAAGACTTTATAGATTAAATCCTTAAAAATTAGTTAAATGGGCAAACTCACCTGAAGAAAGGCGGCGCTGTCAGTCTCTTTCAGAGCTTCGATGCAGAACTGAATTAACCCAGTGGTCTGCTGTAATTTTCCAGTGCAGTTTGACTGTTGATCCTGTGAATACAAAATATAAAATTATAATTATTGAAGTTATTTTAGCTATTTCATTTTGATGAATATATATTGATTTTTGTTGATCCACAAAATGAATAACAAATTGATCACCAAACATACCTTCAGTATCCTGATCTTGGTGTCCTTGTCATTGCGAATCGCCTCCAGCAGATATTCGCGTCTGTCGTGGATGGCCTGAATCAGAGCCTCGCACTGGGCGTGGACAAGTCGCTCGAACTCCATGCAGGATTCCTGTTTGCGGATGAGTCAGATTTTAGCAGGATGCCGCGCTTTTGTCGCCGGGCGCTCACTTACCGTAACTTTGTCGCTCATGCCTTTGAGGCGCTGGATGAACTCGGTCGTGGAACGTGCCTTCTCCGACAATTGTTGCAGATTGTGCGAGAGCTCCGTCTGCAAAATAATACGGACGAAATACAAAAAATTATTCTCGAGGACAATGACATCAGCGCGAAAATTAAAATGAAAAACAGAGCAGGAATGCAGTGCGCAGTAATAAAAGTTTACGGCTTCGGTTACGGGTTCTTTTATGGCAACTTTTAGTCACGCCCGCGGTGACAGCCTGCGCTGGTCATATGATTTCTTTCCTCATAGTTACACGTCAGAATCAAGAGCTTTTCCGAGGGGAAAATTCATTAAACAAGAAAGCAACAACCAAGCCAGACCGCAAATAAATCGCTTGAAAAATAATTTAAACAAAGCCCAGCGCCATTGTAGGCGAATAATAATAAATAACACGCAAGCCTTTTCATTTCCATTCGCCGACATTTGCAAACCTCATTTGTTGAATGTTTTTCGGGAGACAATGTTGATGTTGCGGCATTGGAAACATTTGCACTTGACAGTGACATGACACGCCACGCCACCCAATGAACAATTCAATTTTCATCAGCGCGCAATTTGCTCGGCAATTAAATTGCTCATACGCCCCCGCGCCGCCAACAATTTCAATTCATTAGCATTCGTTCCCGAATGCCCAGGATCAGAATCTTTGTTTGAAATGCCATTCTGCTCGGAATTTCCCCCTTTTTCCGGCCCGTTCCCCCTTTTCGGGCCTGCTATTGCCCGCAGGACACTTTGGCATGAAACCCTCGCACAATTATTGTCCAGCTGGATGTCGAGGAGCTGGCTGGCTCAAGTGTCTGCCAGACGGGCTCTGGAATACAGAAATTGGAGCGGGATCGAGGATAGAGTCCCCCATAATAACCGCCCCGGGCATTTACATGCTTTTCACTTTTCCATACAAAACAGAAAAACAGCCAACGACGTTCTGTTTCTGCTTCTGTTTCCCCTTCCTTGAGCCTTTGTCAGACACGGCGTATACTCATTACCACTTTCTGCGCTTGTTTTCTGATAATTTTATTCTATTTGCTCTGCTCCTCTGTGTGCATTTCTGCCACTGCTTGTCGCCTTTGTTTGCTTATCAAATCAAAATAGCTGCAGGTACCCCAGGATGATGGCCTTGCGACCAAGCGGGAAAAGAGTGTTTTGTTTTGTTTCCCCGGTTTTATTACGGCTAGATAAAATTAGTCGTGTCGGGTGAAAGAAACTTCTAAACATTAAAGGTGAGTCAGAAAGAAATGCCTTGTTTTTAAGGGGATATCCCTTATTTGAGTGTATTTTCCCCTAATTAATCTCAAAGAAGTACATATAAATAAGAATTTGTATAGAAAACAGCTTAGAAATCCTTTCAAATCGCTCGAAATTCTGTAGTATTAAATCCCTGTAGCTACGCATTTCACCCATAGACAACCAATTTGATAGACAGCTCCCAAGAACTGATTTAATGCATTTGCGTTCATAACTCGCCCAAGGATCCGAGTACAACCCCCAAAATCAGCCCAATTACAAGGAAGTATTTTGTAGACAGGCCCTCATAATGAGTTGGCTCTTCCGCAGCGAAAAGGGCAGCTTATGACGATTACATTCATTAGCCGAATGCCCTCTCCCCACTTAAGCGCTGCCCATTTTCCATTCCCGAAAATGAACAGACAGATGGCTAAGCGTCGAAAAGTCGGCAAGAGAAAAGCTGCTGAAGGTTGATAGTGCGGGGGTGGGGCGGGGAAAAGGGATTTTCCGAGGACGGGGGAAAAGTGCCGGCCAAGAATGCGCAACGCGGGCGGCGAACTGTTGAAATTTAATCCCTCAAGGGTTGCTTCAACGCTTCATGCACAATGCAGATGGAAATGGACTGGGAAACCAGAGGGTTGGGGTTCATTTTGAATATGAAGTGGACGGACTAAAGCCGAGAGTCTGTTTTGCATTGATAAGCTGCCCGCTCCTGTTGCTCCGCGTCCTTTTCAAAATTTTTTCGCCAGCCATGCACAAACATAGCTTCCTCGTGACTTTTTATGACGCAGTCCCATAAAAATACACACCAGGCAAAACTTTTATCAGCCAGTAAAAAATAATAACAACATGACATGTTTATGCTCCGCAGACGCAACCTCTTTAAAGTTGCCACGCATGCAAATCGTGTAAATAATTTAAGAACCCTCTTCTTCGGAGCCACTGACGTGGCCGTGACACATGTTCCGCGCGGGAGACAAATAAATTATTAAGTTGTTAAGAGACCCGGCCAACAACGGCAGTCACTCACATTAATATGATAAACGCTGCAACAATGTGCTTTAAGTGAGCGCCAGAATGGGCGACTTGAAAAGGAAAGTCAAAGCCAGATGGGACAAGAAGTGGGTAATGGAATGAAATTACCTATTAAATTGCCAGCATTAAGTTGCTTATGATGCAGGAAACATGTAAAGGTACCTTTAAAATGTTCGTAAATAATATTTAAATGTTTATTTGAGAATTATGATATATTACGGCTATGTACGGTAAATTCGAAATGCAATTTTTGTCTGCCTGTCCCATAAAGATACAAGATTTCTTAATGGTTAATAAGAAAATATAAATAATTTAAGATAAAATATTTACTCTTCCAGTTTTTTAAATTAAGAACAATGTAAATTACTTTCGGTAAAATACCTTTAAGAAACCAGTTAATAGAAGTGAAATCTTTAAATTGCAACTTAGAAAATCAGTAATTTTGAAGAGTTTTCCTCAACATTTATGTTGCCATTCTCTTATCGCCTCAAATAAAAGCCAAATAAGTCTGCGTCCGTAACTATAAAGATGCCAGATTTCATCTCTCGCAAATGGCAACCGGCCAAAAGGCAGTACACAAGCGTTGACAACATTCTTCCCGCCCAACTTCAACTTACCTAGCACACCAGTGCTGCCATCACTCAGCTTGAAAAACAGGACAGATAAGCCAAAAAAAACCGGGAAAAAAAGGACAAAAAAATTTAAAAAAGGACAAAAAAAGGGACAAAAGTAAATGCGCCTCCATTTTTCTGTTTTACCAATGGGTTATATAATTACTTAATTTAAATGGATTTTATATTAAATTCAACTATGTAATGACCTACTGCGCCCGACTCACATCTTTCTTTGTTTGATCATTTTACCATGGTAAATTTTTGTGCGTATACGTAATAATCTAAAATTATTAAAATAATAAAAGCATTTCAAGTAACTATATTGGTAATACAAAAAAATGCAATATCTGCGTCAAACCCGAATAAGAGTCGTTAAAATCTGAAATTTGTTTCTGATAAAAAAACAGAGAGTAAAAATTGAGAAATTTTTAAAGTGTTTTCCTCTTTTTTTGCTACAGAAAAAATCGTACTATAAAGAAAATCCATCAACTGCTTTACGTCTCTTTGATAATTTGTAAAAATAATTATTTTTTAAGTGCCGAACTGTAAGATTGATGGTTAAAAAGGCGTTTTAGCATATAAAAACAGTTTACACACTTTCGACTGGCAAAAATAACACTCAAAACCTTATTTTTGAAAAAAGGACAGATTTCCGGATAGGGGATGTTTTAAAACTTTTCCGGATAAACCCGTTAAAAAAAGGACAGATCTGTCCGGAAAGAGGACAAAATAACAGCACTGTAGCACACGACATCGCACAATTTGTATAGTTAACAGGGGCATAGGCTGGCCAGAGAAAGATTAAAATCGCAGACTTCGTGGCGACATCGCAGTCGTGAATTCAACAGAATGTTGCTTGGCGCCGGCAGTGGCAACAAGTTGCCAGCTACTGTGCAGTGGGATTACACTAGGCAACAACAAATTTGTTAAGAAAAAACCGCCTTTCTCATCAAAATGTATTTTATTTTATTTTAATCAGTTTATAATCGTCCCTTCTATTAAAGTGCAGGACTTAACTCAAAGATAAAATCGTGCAGGCCAGTGCTGCAATGTAATGTTGCCCATAATTCAGTTGCACCAACGACGCAGTTCTGTGCTATAAATAAACTATATTGTGCTCGGATCGTGCCGCAGACTGAGGTTCATTAGTTGCGTGCTTGTTGGCAGGGAATTAGCAAGCCAGATCAGAAATCGCAGTCTCCGCAGCCATTAACTTGGGATTGGGCAATATTGGCGAGCCAGAAAAGGCCATAACTTGATAGAGCTGAAAATCCGACGAATTTCCCAAAACGAGAGCTCATCATCAGAGCGGGGAAACGATGATACATGTCATAGGATAGTGGCCAATATTTATGGCGGAGTGGAGTGGCAGGGACGTGACAACGACTCAAATATCCGACAAACAGGTGGCCAGGCAGTCGGGCTTGAATTATAACGCATTTAAGCCATAAAGCCGCGGATATACGAGACCCGCTTAAGTAGCTCGTGTTGCCGGCACTCTGGACACATGTTCGCCCCTCTTTAAGCCCCATCCGAATATGGTGTTTGGCATTAACGCACATAAATAATATTTACAGCCATTTCGTGTTGCACATGCAACACGTGGCCCTGACGATTGAGTCGTTGATGCTCTTCTTACGGTGCAAACAGCCTAAATGGCCAAAAGATTTAGCCACAAAAATGATGGCGTCTTACTATGGGACTTGGCAGGGTGGGACAGTGCTAATGAAAATTAATTTTTGCGAAAATAAAATGATCATAAATAAAATTGCAGCAAATGAAAGACCATTAGGCTTTAATATAACATATTCAGGGGTGTCACAGAAATCTATTTCAATTTAAGACCAACCAAATAGTTGGATTAGAAACAAAAGTTCCTAAAATCAGAACAAATTTAATCCGAAACTCTAACAAAACTTTATAGGTTCAGTGACACCGACGCTTTTTCTTGGTTGGTTTCCAAACCAACCGTTCCAAAAACCGTCGACTGTTTATGTGACACCCCTGATTATTCATAATTTTAAATTAAATTAAATAATTAATATGTTTTCAAAAACTTAATTTCGTTTCATTCTTTAGTATTGCACGATATCAATATAACTCGTTGAAGATTATTAGGGCTTTATTTTTGAGAGCCAATAGCTCACTTATGAATCACCCTAATCGAAACCGTTA